GCCAGTGGTCAGTGCAGGGCAGTTTCCAGTAGGTTGTGCCAATGATGCTCAGGAGTGCAATGTTCAGCACACGGTGCAGACAGGCAGGAGGGAGGGCGAGGGGGAGGCTGTGATGTGTGTAGCTAGGCTGGGTATGGAAAAGAAGAGAGAGGAGAGAGAAACAGGAGCAAAAAAAAAAAATGCTGAGGGAGTTTGTCATTGGAGTGGAGAGACAAACCGAGAAATGAAGTAAAACAAAAATAAAATTAAATAAATAATTTTTAATGCCCCCCGGGATCCCACCGATGTGACTGCACAGATCAGGGAGCAGCTCCCAAGCTGCACAGTACAGCCTAGCTAGAAGAGGTGAAGATGATACACAACGTGAGGTATTCAGGAGACAAGAAGTAAGTAGAGACGAGAAACCAAGAACTGAAGAAAAATCAAAAGAGAAAACAAAAAGCTCCCAGGGATCTCACCAGTGTGGCCGTGTGGACCAGCTGAGCTGAGCTTCAAAGCATGTCAACAAGAAGCAAAAATGGCACACAAAGTCAGGTGTTTAAGAGGAAGGTGGGGGAGGAGGTGGGAGGCAGGGAACAAACAAAAGAGGCCAAAAAAAAGCAATACCAGCAACAAAGAAATGGTAGTGAAGAAACCGGCCAGTGTGGGCAGGGCAAATCCACATGGCACGGAACTGGTGCCTCCCATGCCATGGTCGCAGCCCACTGGTTAACGGCAGACTGGCCTACCAGGAATCAGCAAGTTGTCCCTCCAGAAAGCCAGGAATCAACCCACTGGGAAGCAGTGAGTCAGCCCACTGGGAAGCTGGGAATCAGTCCACCAGGAAGCTGAGAATCGGCCCTCTGGGAAGCTGGGAAACAGCCCACTGAGAAGCAGCAAATTGGCCTTCTGGGAAGCCGTGAATCAACCCGCCGGGAACCCACGGATCTGCCACCCAGGAAGCGGTGAAGGTCGAGTAGGGGGAGGCAGGGTGGGGTGGGAAAGCATGTCTCGCTGGTTACTGGGTGCTCTGTCTCCTGCTGGGAGCACCGTGAATCTGCTTTCCCATACTCTCTGTCCACCAATCTCTGACAGGAGTCCACGATGGTGGATCCATGCTCCATTAGCTGATAGGGGACCTCTGCTCGTAACTCTTCTAGCTCTCTGTTCTCTGTCAGTTTCTTATACCATTTGGTGTTTGGTTGAGTTCTTTCTCTCTTAATTTGATGCTCAGGGTTCCAGGATTGACGTTTGTCTCTATTTGACTTAGTTTTTCGGGTCTTTGCTGTGGAGGGATGGCGTGGTGCTTCTGTCTATAGCACCATGTTGGCTCTGCCTCCTTTTCTTGAGTTTTTGAAGATCTTACTGCAAATTTGGTAATAGTAAATGCCTAATCACTATTTGCAATTTTTCTGATATTAAACATCTCATAACTATTTTATTTAACTGACTCAGTTATGTACTATGATGCTAACTCACAGAGGTGATTATGTTTAATTTTGCTTCTTCAATAATGTAGACCATAATTTTTGAACATGTCTTTAAAATTTCTGCTGAAACACTGCACAAAAATTTTATAGACAGTTATGTCGGTGCCATCTCCTCTGACAGTGTTATCTGGTGCAGTCTGCACCCCTCACACTCCCTTAGTGATGCCACTGCACCCACCTACTGACTAGTACTTGGGAACCACAGTACTATACCATATCTCATTTGGGAGAGACAAGAAGACAACTTATGTGGCTAGAGAGGAATCTCTGTGTTGGAGTATAATGAGATAGCAAGGAAGAATTGCGGGGGTTAATTCAGAAACTTGGAAGCTGGGCTAATACGAATCACTTGAAATATATTGAGAATGTAGCATCAGAGGAGGAATATAAATAGCATTAAAAAACATGAAATTATCTTATTAAGAAGGATACATAATAGCAATGGACTTAAGTGAAAAATGCATGGCAAAAAAAAAAAAAAAAAACAGCCTATGGTGCTGACAAAACCAGATGTCCATCCGCAAAAAAGTGAAACAGGACCCATACCTCACACCATACACAAAAACTAATTCAAAATGGATCAAAGAGCTAAATATAAAGCCAAAAGGCAAAAAGTTCATAGAAGAAAAAATAGGATCAATGGTAGAGGCCCTAATACACAGCATTAACAGAATACAAACCATAAACAACAAACACAAACTCCAGAAGATAAGCTAGATAACTGCGATCTTCTAAAAATTAAACACTTATGCTCATCAAAAGACTTCACCAAAAGAGTAAAAAGAGAAACTACAGACTGGGAAAAAAATTTTGGCTATTACAAATCCGACAAAGGTCTAATCTCTCTAATCTACAAGAAAATCTAACACCTCTACAACAAAAAGACGAATAATCCAATTAAAAAAATGGTCAAAGGATATGAACAGACACTTAACCAAAGAAAACATTAAAGTGGCCAACAGACACATGAGGAAATGCCCATGATCACTAGCCATTAGAGAAAAGCAAATCAAAACCACAATGAGATACCATCTCACCCTGGCATTACTGGCACAAATAAAAAAAAACAGGAAATAACAAATGTTGGAGAGGCTTCTGGGAGACTGGAACTCTTAGGCACCGCTGGTGGGAATACAAAATGATACAACCATTTTGGAAAACGATATGGTGCTTCCTTAGAAAGCTAGAAATAGAAATACCATATGATCCAGCAAACACTAACGACCAAAGACCAAATGAATTATGGAATGGCATCATACATGAAGAAAACAAGAGGTCATTAAAAAGACAGGAAAGAAAGACCAAAATGGATGTAACGTAATGTTATGTCCCCAGATACCCTTTTAACTCAGTAATGAAGTCACTCTTGAGGTTCACCCTTCAGCCAAAGATTAGACAGTCCCATAAAATAAAAAAAGACTAAAGGGGCACAACAGCCCAGGGACAAGGACTAGAAGGCAGAGGGGACAGGAAAGCTGGTAATAAGGAACTCAAGGTCGAGAAGGGAGAGTGTTGACATGTCGTGGGGTTGTGAACCAATGTCATAAAACAATATGTGTACTAACTGTTTAATGAGAAACTAGTTTGTTTTGTAAATCTTCATCTAAAGTACAATAAAAAAAAAAAAGAATAGCCTACCTAGTTGTGTAATGGGCTACAGACGGGCAGACGTGGACCAATCAGGCATGATAAATGTCCTCTCTTAAACAAAAATTAGTAAACCAGTCTGATTTGTCCAAAGATTTGCCTTAATTATGTGAACTCGGATTTTTAAAATGTTTCTGATCTAGCAGTTTTTATAACAAGGACATTTTTCTTAAAAGTCTAGCACAAAGTATTAGAAATACAGTTTTTAAAATTTTCTGTGAATTTTGGGATTGTAAGTGCTTATGTGGATCTCTATGAATCAGTCAGAACTGAGCTCCTTTAAGAGCCATTATAATTATTAATGCCCTCCAGAAGTAGGAAAACATTTTACATATACACAGAGAGATATAAAGGCTTTTCTAAACTATAGACACATAGACACAAAGAGAACTTACAGCTTCAGTTCTGCACCCTCAATCCCCCGTGGAAAATAAACACAGAAACAGAAAAACTAACCAGCCACCATAGCTGTTCTCCTTCCCACTGGGCACAAAATTGTTATTTGAGCTCACAAGGAGACAACAACAACAAAATAACCTGTTATCTCTCTTCTAATAGAAAATATATCTCCATCATCTAACAGGTACCACTAAATGGTCAGATCATAAAACCAAACTCTGAATCATTACTGCTACCAGAGTTGAATGACATATCAGCCAGGCACAAAATAAGAAAAAAAAAAAAACAAAAAAACTTTTTTTTTTTTAATCAGTAGAGTGGGAAAAAAAAAATTAGAGAGTAAAGTTAGGTCTATAACCAGCTGGAATTTACTTTAAAAGCTAATAAAAGACATGACTGGGCTTAACCCATGAAGTGGACTTCTTCAGGGATACAACTTATTTGGCTCCACAGATGGTTCCACTTGGGCGTCTCCATTGAACCTCAAGGTTCCAGTGTTAAAGTATAATTTTCAAAAGTATAACATCATGTCCCTCGTGCAAATATAAAATGGACACATTTCAAAGTTTTATTAATTAATTAATGAGGGAATTGTTAAACCGTTAAAACCAATTCAAACAGCATTTGAGATGCTGGGGATATATTAATAAAAGTATGTTAGAATATGATCGCAAAGTTAGATACAAAACCGATTAATGTCTAACCGAACAATAAATCATAACCTGTGGAGTTTATCTGGTCCAACGGATACTTGACAAAATTCCACAAAGATAACCTCTACAGAACTGTACAACAACACGGTCAATAGAAAGTTAAGACTAGAACAGCACTGACAGAACACTCAGTGATCTCTTTTGCCTATTTTCAAGTTTCTAATAATTTTTCTCAGAGGAGTGAAATATTAGAAATATTGCATGGGACATATACATAATAAACATTATTGCTTTATCTGAAATTCAAATGTAACTGGGCATCCTGTATTTTATCTGGTATGTTATCTGGTAACCTGCTAACGAGTTAACAAAAACTTTACCAAATTTGTACCGTTCCGTTGTCAATCTTACAGCTCTTAAATCTGTACCTCAGCTTCCTATCCCCGCCTAGATAATAAATATTCAGGGTATTTCTACTGCGCTGCTATTCTTTATGTTTACCACTGGGTGACGCTTATAACTCGCAGTAAACCCACTGCTATGGAGTCTATTCCAACTCATAGCGACCCTACCGGACAGAGCAGAACTCCGGCAATGTACTGGATGCGAAAGCCTGAAGAGACCACAAGAGCTGTTTCTACAACCAACCCGCTAGATAAGACTTCAGGAAGCCCTCAGATTTCACAGCCAGGCGCTGTTTTACGAACAACCAATGCGGCTGAGCGATAACGCCGAACTATGCCCGGGCCAGACCCCAACTGCGCAGGCTTTCTGGTGAGCGCGCAGGCGCTGTCGGTGGAACTCACGGGAAACGGAAAGGGAGTGGGTGGAGCCGCCGAGGGTGCGCACGCGCAGAGGTTGGCGGCTGGAGTCAACTAGGGCGTGTGTGGTGCAGTGGTCTGTGTGCATCTTTCGTTCCATGGAGATGCCCAGCTCCCGGGCGCACCCAGAGGACAGCACTGAGCTGGTCCCTTCCGACAACTCGACCCCGCACAGAGAGGACCTTAGCAGCAAGGCAAGTGTGGAACTCGGCGGCGGGAAGGCTCACGGGCTCGGGATGGGGCGCCACTGGCCCCGGAGGTGGTCCGTCGCGGACCCTTCGCGCCCCGCGTGGTTGGCCACCTTCCGTCCCCGGTACCTGGTCTGTCAGTAGCAGTGCGTGACTTCGCCTGGCCTCGGCTTTGCCCAGCTGCTCCATAGCACTATGCAGGTGTATAGCACTTTGCGCTACTTTCCTTTAAACAGTTGCGGTAAGGGAGACACTGAAACTTGCTCCGAGGTTAGATTTAGGTAGCAGTGGGACGGAGGTTTTGTTAAGATTTTTCTCTTTACCTTTTAAAACTTTTAGAAAGACTGCCCTCCTCCCCCAGATCTCTTCCGTTGCCCGTATTCTCCACCTCAGAAAACGTCCCCACCATCTATCTAGTTTTCTATGCCAGTAATTTGGGAGCCATCCTTGACATCCATCACAAAGTCCTGTCACTTCTACCGCCGAAGCCCATTTCACGTACGGACCCACATCACCATCTGCCCGCTTATCACCCCAGACCAGCCACCGTCATCTCTCATTGGTACTCAAATCCTCCCCAGCCGGTCTCTCCTCATCCACCATTACCTTTTTCTAATCTAGTCTCCACTTAGCAACCAGAGCAATAATCCTAAAACATATCTGATTGTCACTCTATTTTTTAAAAAGGGGGGAATGAGGAGCCAATATAAAATAAATCTTTCCTGCCATAAACAGACAAAAGCTTTAAAAACATAAGGAGGGGACAGTTATAGCTTTTCAGGTGTTAAGTGTCCTAGATCGTACTTTGCTTCTGTCCCAAACTAACAGTGACATTTTGGGCAAGTCTCTTTAATCTCTCCGTATTACAGTTTACTTGTTTGAAGTACATAAAGTGAAATTTATACCTGCATTCCTAAAATGAATGGGAAAGTACTGTTCAGACATAAGCTATTGTTATTACTACTTTCATCCCAAGGAGGTTATATGAATTCAGCCTTGGTATTCAACCTAATACCAGTCAATTAGTAGAACTGTGACTATCAGCTAGGGAGACATAAGAGTGCACACATTGCGGGGCGGGGGGGGGGAGGGAGTTTTTTTAAACTACACACAGCCTGTTTCCATTACTACCATAGCAAGTCCCTTAAATTAATGTATGACATCCTCCAGGTGTGTGAGGTAGGAAAAAAAAAGATTGCGAACTTTAATTTTAGAGCCACTAGTGAAACTGTGTCAGTCAGGTTGTGAAAATAATTAGTTATCTACTTAGTTTTCACTTAGTTGAGTGCTCCCATACTAGTAAAAAGTGAAGTCTAGTTCAGTAGTGCCAGGACTGTGCTAGTCTTTGAAATACAAAAATGAATAAAGCAACAATGAGAAGTGATAGGTCTTACTGCCACAGGTAAGGCATTTACTACTACTTGCTTGTTTCAGAAGTCTAGCTACACCATTTAGTTCGTAAATCATAAAAACCACTAGTAATTGAAAAAAAGTGGCCCACCCTTCAGTCCATTCAGTATTAAATAAAAAAACACAACTTATGAGAATTAATTGAAAGACTGTTAATACTTTTGGTGGATATCATATGTTTTTAATAGAAGATATAAACCTTTTTGTTAACTGTGCCACTTGGTGTGTATTCTGGCTACCAACACAACCCTTGGCAAGGCTAATCACTGCGTTCCCCTCCAACTTTCCCACACTTCCATCCCCACACAGACTCTGTGAAAAGAATCTGTATATTCACACACTGCCCATTTTGAAAATCAGTGCAGAATAGTTCCTTATTCCATCTCTGATTTTGAAACAATCAGGGACCCTCGTTGAGCATACCCTGGGAACCTCTGATTTAAGAATTTTTTTCCCTTTATTTCAATAGATCAAAGAACAAAAAATTGTTGTAGATGAACTTTCTAACCTGAAGAAAAACAGGGTGAGTTATTATAATAATTGTTTATATTTTATTAAAAATTACATATGTGACTTATAGAAATTTAATATTAAGGTGATGATTTCAGCATCTTTTTAGTTAACAAATTGCAAAAGTGAAAAATTTCCAAGATTATTTTAATGTGTGTGTGTGTATGTGTAATGTTGAAGATGGTTTTTCCCCATCATGTGCTGTCCACATTACTTTTGGACCAAATGATACTAATTGTACTTTGGTAGTTTACTGCTGTAATCACTAATGGTATTTATTTTATACTGAATTTAATATTTTTTTTGGTAAATAAATTAACTTTAAATATATGGAAAAGAGAGAAAACTGTTTCTATAAATGAACACGGGTAATTGTTGAACCAAAAAAATGATAAAATTGCCACACTCCCCAAAACAATAATAATAACATTAATCTTTCAAATGCTTAACATGATTATTAAATGTATTCATGAGCAAGCAAGCTGTCAGAGTTACCAAAAATTACATTTTAAAATTCAGGAAGAAATTATTTTGAGCTTTTTAAAGCGTTTAAAATACTATTTTATAACAGGTTAGACATTTTTAATATTGCCTTTTGTGGAATATTAGAAGCTAAGACACAGTTGATAAAAACTTTCTAGAGGGCACATTGGCAGAATGTATCAGAGTCTTAAACTGTGTAAGTTTGACCCAGTAGTACCATTTCTAGGAACTGATATTTAGAAGGGTGTGCACAAAGATTTAGTTACAAGAATATTCATCACAACATTGATTTTATAATTGTGAAAAGTTGATAACACCATAAATGTCTTAAGATTTGAGAACTGAACAAATAAAACTAGTATTTTATATCCAGACAGTAATACTGTAAAAGAATACTTAGTAACATAAGAAAAGGTGTTCACAATATATTATTCACTGATAAAAGCAAGTTATAAAAACATAGGCATAGTTCCTTTTTAGTTAAAAGAAAAATAGTATTATGGTATATGCAGACAAAGAGTTTCACCTCAGTGTTAATGGAAGTATTTTCTGGGTAATGAGAAGATGGGTGACTTAATTTGTTTTGTTTATCTATATTTTCTGAAATACTACTTGGAACATATGTTATTGAAGTTCAAGAATAACTGTTATTATAGTCCAAAATTTTGGCAGTTATTTAGATCAAATCTTGATATTAGCTTAAATTATGTTTTGCAGAAAGTATATAAGCAGCAGCAAAACAGCAACATATTCTTTCTTGCAGACCGAACAGAAATGCTTTCTGAAAGCAAAAGTAAGTTTTTTCAGTATCTTACATAGAAAGAGACTTTCTGTGGAAATGCATGGTGGTGCCTAAGTTATACTGTCTAGATCTGATGGTTTAAATATATGCATCTAAAGAAACCTGTCAATAAAATTAATACAATGGTTTGGTTTTCTTCAAATTAGCCTTCCAAAAATGAGTCTTTGAGAAAGACCTGGAAATCTGCTCTCGTAAAGATTATAGCCTAGAAAACCCTATGGGACAGTTCTGCTTTGTTACATGGGGTTGCTATGAGTCAAAATCTACTTGATGGCACACAACAACAAATAAAAAATACATAAGATGTGTTAGAAAGCAATAGTTACAACATGTTTTAGAGTTTCCAACAATCTAAGTATGAACAACTGTTTGACTGCTTTCTGTGACTGAGTGACTTTGAGCCTCCAAACTCTTATGGGAATTAAATAATATGGTTTATCTAAAGTGTTTTTATCTAAACTGCATATTTAGATAAATGTGATTTATCTAAAGTATTTGGCCCAGTAGTTGGGCCAAAATAAAACATTTAAAAAAAAAAAAACCAAACCCCTTGTCGCCAAGTGGATTACGACTCATAGCAACCCTATAGGACAGAGTAGAACTGCCCTATAGGGTGTCCAAGGAGCAGCTGGTGGATTTGAACTGCTGACCTTTTGGTTAGCGGCTGTAGCTCTTAACCACTGTGCCACCAGGGCTCCAAAATAAACACTCAGTAAATAGAAACTATTTTTTTAAAACAAACATTCTTTATCAGTAGCCTGTTGTGAATATTTATTGGCAGTAGCAACACAATGCATATACTCAGATGATTTGATTTTGTTAAATAATCCATAATGCCCTGTCAATGATAAGGTAAAAGTCCAAGATATTTTACTTAATATTTCTTCCTCACCTCCTCCCCTCACAGATACATTGGATGAACTGAAAAAAGAATACCAAGAAATAGAAAATTTAGAGAAGACCAAAATCAAGAAATCGTCATCTTAATTTCATATAACAATGTGTGGCATTTGTTGTTCTGTAAACTTTTCTGTTGAGCATTTCAGCAAAGATTTGAAAGAGGATTTACTGTACAATCTTAAACAACGTGGACCCAATAGTAGTAAACAGTTGTTAAAATCTGATGTTAACTACCAGTGTTTATTTTCTGGACATGTCCTTCACTTGAGAGGTGTTTTGACTCCCCAGCCTGTGGAAGATGAAAGAGGCAATGTGTTCCTGTGGAATGGAGAAGTCTTTAATGGAATAATGGTTGAGGCTGAAGAGAATGATACTCAAATTGTGTTTAATTATCTTTCCTCTTGTAAAAATGAATCTGATATTTTGTCACTCTTCTCCAAAATCCAGGGTCCTTGGTCTTTTATATATTATCAAGCATCTACTCATTATTTATGGTTTGGTAGGGACTTTTTTGGTCGCCGTAGCTTGCTTTGGCATTTTAATAATTTGGGTAAGAGTTTCTGCCTCTCTTCAGTTGGCACCCAAACATCTGGAGTAGCCAATCAGTGGCAAGAAGTTCCAGCATGTGGAATTTTCAGAATTGATCTCAAGTCTGCTGCCATTTCCAAATGTGTGATTTTAAAATCATATCCTTGGAAGTATATATCTCGGGAGAATGTTATCAAAGAATGTGTTGATAGCCTGACTCAAATTTCAGCAGACTTGCCTAAGATTGTATCAGTGGAAGCAAATGAAGCCAAACTGTATCTTGAACAGTCTGTTGTTCCTTTAAATATGGTGTTGCCACCAGCTGCATTTGAGACTCATTGCACTGACATTTCCAGAGTCCCACCTATAAGAGAGACACTTCAAGTCTGTCTTACTGACAGACACATGAAGGAAGTGGTTCAACAGTTCATTGATGTCCTGAGTATCTCAGTCAAGAGACGTGTCTTATATTTACCTAGAGATGAAAGCTTGACATCAAATGTTTTGAAAACTTGTGATAAGAGAGCAAGCATTGCAATTCTGTTTTCTGGTGGCATTGATTCCATGGTTATTGCAACCCTTGCTGACCGTCATATTCCGATAGATGAACCAATTGATCTTCTTAATGTGGCTTTCATGACTAAAGAAAAGACTATACCAACTAGTTCTAACAAAAAGAGGAGTAAGCAGAAAAATCATTGTGAAATACCTTCTGAAGAATTCTCTAAAAACCTTGCTGCCACAGCTGATGATAATCCTGATAAACAATTGAGTGTACCAGATCGAATCACAGGAAGAGCGGGACTAAAGGAACTACAAGCCGTCAACCCTTCCCGAATTTGGAATTTTGTTGAAATTAATGTTTCTTTGGAAGAACTACAAAAATTCAGAAGAACCCGAATATGCCAGTTAATTCAGCCCTTGGATACAGTCCTGGATGATAGCATCGGCTGTGCAGTCTGGTTTGCTTCTAGAGGAATTGGTTGTGTAGTGACACAGGATGAAGTGAAATCCTATCAGAGCAATGCAAAGGTATGGCACATATTTCTACTCGTCAGAATGTCTGAGATGTAGATTTGATCCTTGAAGCTGTGGCAGTTAGGTTGCAAGAGTATAACATATTTAGTTGCATTTAAATTGCAACACAACGCCTCTGTCTTTTTAAAAATTGAGCATATTTTACTATTTAATGCCTTTGTCTTGTGTTTTCTCTTTGAAATGTTATTTTGGGGTTTATCTTTTTTTAGGGTTTTGTTTTATCCTAGTTATTTTCCTTACTGTATAGTAGATAGAATTTTTAATGTGGATTGCTTTAAACCTTTATAGGTTGTTCTTACTGGGATCGGTGCAGATGAACAACTTGCAGGTTATTCTCGTCATCGTGTCTGCTTTCAGACACATGGGTTAGAAGGATTGAATAAGGAAATAGAAATGGAACTAGGTCGAATTTCTTCTAGAAATCTTGGTCGTGATGACAGAGTTATTGGTGATCATGGAAAAGAAGCAAGGTAATTCTAATTATCTATTGGAGTGTTGTTGGGTGTTTTTGTAGTAACAGACTGTGAAAAGAGAATTTTAGGTTCCTTTTTGCTTGGAGACTGTTCAAATGAGTAACATCAGTAGCAATAATATCTTTGTCTTGTAAATGTAGACAGAAGCAAAGCTGGGGAGGGGCCAGCAGGGTAGCAGTTGTTTTCCAGAATTCCTTCTCCAAGAAATATCTTTTCAACAATTTCCAAAGGTGATACAATGACATGATTGTTTTTAAGACTATAATGAAAAAGTCTGTGAATGTAAAACTGAAATAGTGAAACGCTGAAAATGTTTAAAGGGTTTTGTTTGGTTATAACGGTTGCTTTCCTCCAAGTAAGGGTATAGGCCCCACTCCCAGGCTCTCTCCTCCAATTTTATGGAACCTGGCTTTGCCTCTATGGACATTTCTGTATATATTATAGATCTATACCGATTTGAATGGTGGTTCCAGTAATGGATTCCCCTATATGTTTTTGGAACGTAATTTAGTCACACATTGCAGATTACCTAAAACTTTCAAAGAAACCACAGTTTTATATGCATACCATATTTTTATGCAAATAACACACGCCCTCTCTGTGTTTGTTTGCTGGCTGCGCCCCACCTACCCCCACAAGTCACCCTCACCAGTACAAGCACCACCATGCCAATCCTCTTTCACATGTTGCTGTTAAAAAAAAATTAGCATAGTGTGCTTACAAAAATACCTTGAGCATGTTATTTACATAAAAATATGGTATTGTTTAATCTTGGGCTTATTTGTACATACAATATATTTTTGATGGTAGTAAACAAGTTTTTGAATAAAACTTTTAGAATCATTAAGGATAAAGGAAGATGTGTTATTTTGTATAAAGAGCAGAAATCTAAGTGGTTTAATTTATTAAATGGTGATTTATTACAAGGGTACAAACATACACAAATAGGGAGTCCAAGTAAGCCTCATGGAAATTGGAACATCATACACCTACTCTCTCTGAGGCTTGACTTTTTTCTTTCTACTTCTGTCTTTTCCTCTTTCCACTGGACCTTAGTTGCCTTTACACAGTTGTCATTCTTAAAATGTTGCCAGTGTGACGCATATAAAACGTTGACTACAGTGTCATTATTCTGTCATAATTTTCCAAGATTTCATTATAACAAATGCTACAATACAAGTCTGTAAACTGTTTTCCATTTGCTGTGTGTGTGACAGAGAGAGCGAGAGAGAGAGAGAGATTCATCCTTTAGCTCAGTTAAATTAGAAAGAAGAGGATTAAAGCAGTTAATTTTAAAGGCTCCACATGAAAGTCTTACGATAACCCTCAGGTAAAAATGCATATGAATAATGTTTAAAACGGCTTATATAGAATTGTGATTTAACAAATGCCATTATAATGGCTAAATCTAAATAACCAGTTTATCATGCATCTTGACACGTGTATTAACAGTAATCTATTAATTAGCTGTCTTCTATTTAAATTCCTTTTACAATGAATTCACTTTTATAAAATATCCCATATAACGAATGCCTTTATCCATCCCAGTCTGTACTCTAGAATAAAATGTAATGAAATGGAAACACTGTCATAACTGTGTTGTACTTTGAAAGATTGGGGCTGGTGGTTGTTAAAGCATTTTAAACAATAAAAAGGGCAGACTTTTGTAGGAAATTAGGGAAACCAGAGGGTCAGAAAGTTTTTTTTTTAATTCAGTACTTTGTTTTGTATTACACCAATTTGTTGCCATTTAAACACTTTAAATGTAATTAAACAATTTTGATACCATAAAGTAGTACCATAAATGTTTCACAAATGCACCAATGTGTAGCTCATCTGTATTGGTCTCATATCCCTAAAGTTCAATTTCTTTAGTCAAGATAAAGAATAGACACGAATTGAATAGTTGACTAAGATTATGCTTATTTTCAAGACATCCCCAAAGATATTATGTGAAACAGTTTTGAAATTATTTCTTAAGACCATAGACCTAATTTATTTATTGAGGTTTAGAGTGTTTTGTAGCATATATATTAAAATTATTCAATTTATGAAACATTTGATTTTTAATGTGGTTAAATTTTAGCTGTAAAATTATGTAAACAACTATAATATTTTTATTTGAGAAAATAGTGCCCTCTAAGGTGGCTCAGTGCTTAAGAGCTCCGCTGCTAAACAAAAGGTTGGCAGTATGAATCCACCAGCAGCTCCTTGGAAACCCTATGGGGCAGTTTTACTCTGTCCTGTAGGGTCGCTATGAGTTGGAGTCAGCTTGATGGCGGCAGGTTTGGTTTCGGGTTTTTAAGGATTCCTTGACACCACAGAAGACCTTGCAGTCTTTTTCTGTAAAGCTTATAGCCAAGAAAACCCTATGGAGCAGTTCTACTCTGTAACATGGGATTGCCATGAAGTCAGAATTGACTTGATGGCAGCAGGTTAGGTTTGTGGTTTTAGTGCCTTGTAAGATTAATTTTTATACTGTAAATATAAACATATTGAATAAAATGCATCAAAAAATAATCATAACACATTGATTTTTATAGTGATGCTATATGTTTCTATTCATTTTAGATTTCCTTTCCTGGATGAAAATGTTGTCTCCTTTCTAAATTCCTTACCAATTTGGGAAAAGGCAAACTTGACTTTACCCCGTGGAATTGGTGAGAAACTACTTTTGCGTCTTGCAGCTGTGGAACTTGGTCTTACATCCTCTGCTCTTCTGCCAAAACGGGCCATGCAGTTTGGATCCAGAATTGCAAAAATGGAAAAGAATAATGAAAAAGCATCTGACAAATGTGGAAGGCTCCAAGTCATTTCCTCAGAAAATCTTTCTATTGAAAAGGAGATTAAAATGTAGTATGATTTCACAATGTAACATTTGCTGAGTGATAGTTATGTAAAAATAAAATACTCTGCTGCTTTATTATTATGTAACTTAGTGGTTTTAAAATTCATTAGTCAAATTATGTAACTTTTCTTAGAAGCTACATCCAGAAATAACTCAATTTGTTGTTGTTGCTGTTGTCAGGAGCCCTGGTTGAGAAAACCTGGGACCCTAGAACATGGAATGGGAACATCAGAATGGATGCCTCTGAGGGTTTTGGCTCTGCAGACTCCTCTTAACCCTCAGATTTTACAGAGGTGGCCTATAATTCCCTAGTATGATCTAGCACTTCCTCTGTGCTGGAAGATAACTGCAGGCCCCTCCTGACAAGGCAACAGGTACCTCCCTCAGGAGCTGCTTCCACCTCCTTTCCTGACTGCCAGGCCGATAACTAGGATTAAGTCTGAGCATAACCGAACTTGGGAAGTGCTGGACCTGATAAGAAAGACATTAACACCAAAGGAGCTATAAAAATTAACTAACATACTGGCAGGGGCCAGAGTACTCCTGGGTTTGGATTTTGAGGGTGTTTGATCCAGGGGCCAGAATATGAGATTGGCTAAGCAACAGTTCATTGACTTGGGGGAACTTTTTTGGAAGATAGGATTTAACAACCTGACGTGGATGCCAGGGCAAATTCTCTGTTAGGGTGGCTCTTAGAGGCCTGGAGAAGATGATGGCCGGTGCTGAGGGAAGCTACCCTGACAGATGGTAGAGGAATGAATAAAGAGGCTGAGGGAAGTGGGCATGCTGAAATGGATATATGTGAGACCAAAAAACCCACCAGAGGATTACACTCTGCAGAAGGGCCTGAGGATACCCCATTTATAAGGTAATTAGGACTGCACTGGTGAGAGGGGCACCAGCATCGCTAGGAAGTTCAGTGGTGGCTGTCCTCTGAGGACCAGGTTTGAGAGGCAGTCTCAGCTGGGCTTGTTAATGTCCATGTGGATGCTGGCCCCCTCCCCACCCACCCAGTTGACCTGATAGTTCACAAGGTTGGAGAGGCAGCCAAGGGGGTTTGACCCATAAGGAATTGTGGAGTTGGTTAATAGAGCATAGCATCACTACGAGCAAAATAGGCAGCTAACAAGGGCACAACGTAACATCTACAATCAAAAAATGACAAGAATGGAGGAGCAGGAGGCTGAAGGTGTTTGTCTCAATGCAAAGTCATGATCCCTTAGTTCTCAGACCTAAACCAATTTTTAGATCCAGAACCCACTGACTAAAGAGGTAGCTGGGCCCTAGGAGGAAGGATCCTCAACATGGTGGCAAGTAGATGCTGGATGATTCCCCCGGTCCTTCCCTAAGTAAGTACGGCTATTAGGCGTTTACACTGGAGAAAGGGAAATGTCCAGGCATTTCAAAGACTACTGGACACAGATACCTGGGTATGTGTTTGCATTTCCTGAACATAGAATCTCAACCAATGCCACTGCCTGACAGGATACCTGAGTCACATTCACAGAATCCCAGACAGTATAGCATCAACTAGGGAACCACTTCACAGCAAAGGGAGTACAGTAGTGTGCCCGTGATGAAGTGCTGTGTTAACCTGTAAACAAATGAACAACTCTCCTGAGATCTGAGACAAGTAGAACCGTCTGGGTCCATGAGCAAAAAACCTTACGGAGAGGAATTTACATGTACGTCCAAACATGCAAATCTTTTAAAAGAAAGGAGAGGATCTTTTTGACATCCCTTCCCCTGAAACAGCAATCATAAATTTATTAATATTGACTACTCCCATAGCAGCTAAAACATGATACAGTGGGTACAAGAGAAATTCTATCCCCAAACAGTCACCAAGAACCTCCATGTTGCTAAATTCAGTGGAAGAGTTTCAGTTATCTCCCCTGACCTAGCAGCAGCATCCAATGATGTTGGCCACTCCCTTATTCTTGAAACACTTCTCTTAGCTCTGTGGTCAATCTTGTTTTCCTTCTGCCTTCCTGTTTGCTCTTTGTCATTGCTCTCTATCTGACCTTTAAATGTTAAATTTCTAAGGTCTCCATTATAGGCTCTCAATTCTTATTCTGCATTCTCTCCCTTGCTAATTTAACCACTCTCATGGCTTCAGTTACCATAAGCATGCCCAAATGTACATATCTAACTCAAGTTGCCATTCTTAGCCTAGATCTGTGTATCTAAGGTATATCTGACATCTCTGCTTGGCTCTCTCACAGGTACTTCAACATCAGTACGTCCACAACTGAACTCTTAATCTTGCCCTGATCCTTTTATTGCTCTGGTCAAAAATGAGAGCATCACCTTCACTCTAATTTCTTCCTTAACGCCTTACCACTCAATGTGTTACCAGCCTGCTACCTCCTTAGCATTTCTCAAATCCGTCCACAGCCCTCCACTGCCACCACCCTAGCCTGCACCTAGCTTCCCTTGCCATGAACCTAGTCTCAGCTTGTAGGATAACATTTAAAATCCTTAACTCATTGTCCTGCGTGATCTGGCCCTCACTTCCTCTACAGCCTCATTTGTGCCACCATCTCCCTTGTTCTTAATGTAAGGTTTTGTTCAGTTTCCCAAAAATTTCAACATTCTTCTCACCTTAATTCTTTCCCATCTGATGCTCTGTATCCCTGGAAAAACTATTCCTTCAACTGTTTGCTTGCATAACTCTTTTTTATCTTTCAGGCTCAACTTAAAAGTTCACTCCCTCACAGCAGTCTTTTCCAACCCCAGATATAGGCTACTTTTCTTCATGTGCTGTCATTATGTCTTATATTTATCACATTGTTAAACGTATCTGTATAGTTATCTGTTTAGCTGTGTGCTCCTTGAGGTTTTTGTGTCTGCTCTGTTTTTCAGAATCTTCAGCTCCTAGCACAGTGTGTGGCTCATGATAGGTGTTCCACAAATGACTGCTGAATGAATGATGTCAGGAGGGATTCCAACTCAGGGGTACCTCAAAGTCCGGTTCTTTCACCTCTGCCCCTCTTTTTCTGTTTTAGCAGAGACAAGTAGGAGAGTAAGCAAATAGTAGAGAAGTACGGCGCCTAGAGCACGAGGCTGGGCGGAGTAGCGGGAGGCACCGACGCCTGGGCGCGCAGAAAGGCTGTCCGCGGGGTTTCTCGTGAGCCGCGGGCCCGCCAGCCCTGGGCCCCAGGCCCAACGGCCTCGACCCGCGCCCAGCGGCCGTGGCGGCAGGCGAGCCCGAGAGCTCCCAGGAGGGCCGGGCGGCCACAAAAGGCCAAACCGGATTCGCTGGTTCTCGCTGCAGGAAAGCGCCTCTCGGATCCTCCCGGAGCGTCTCCCCTGGTCCTCGCCCACGCGGAGGACCTGACCGCGGACCCAGCCTAGAGAGAAGTCGTTTGAGCCGGAAAACCAGAACCTGGGAATACTCCAGGGACCCACGTGGACGCAGCTTCCCTTACCTGGACAATAAAAATCATTTCAACGTAGGTTTCTTCCTCGTTCTTTCCCCTTTCCTGTGTCTGTGGCAGATGGGAGCTGGTTGTGGGCATAGGTCTTGGACTTTAGTACGGACAGATGTGGGTTCTGATCCTGAGAGGTATGAAGCCAAAGGAGAGTCCTGTATCCAATCTAGCCTCCGTTTCTACGTCTATAAATTGGGAATCAGAAAGCCTATTTCTCTGAGCAGGGTTGTCAGAGCGTGGTCCCGGGACCAGCAGCATCAGCATCACCTGGAACTTCTCAGATCATGTAAACTATTTGGCCCCATCCCAAATAACTGAATCAAAAACTCTAGAGTGGAGCCTGGCAATCTGTTTTTAACAAACCCCAAGTGATTTTGATGCAGGCTAAAATTTGCGAACCATTGTATAATTAGAGACAAACGAAATAGGTAAAATATTGTGTATAAAGAGCCTGGCACATAGCAGATGCTCAATAAGTAGTGGTTCTGTTTATTATTATTGCAGGAACTGAGAGACATTCATAGCGACCGCATAGGATAGAGTAGGTTTTCCAAGGAGTGCCTCGTAGATTCGAACTGCTGACATTTTGCTTAGCAGCCTAACATTTAACGGCTGCAGCCACTAGGGGTCCGAGAGACATTTAGTTGCATAGAAATAGAAAGCTTCTTTCCTTCTCTCCCTCCCTCCCACCCTTCTCTCCTTCCTTCCTTCCTTCCCTTTTTCTTAAGCACGTACTTATTTTCTTGCTTCAAAAATCTGAAAACAAAATAAACGTATGTATATGCAAAAAAAAAAAGTATGTAATAAGGATTTCTCATACATAAACTTAATTTCCTTTTGACATACTTCTTAGTGTCTTTTGAACAGAAAGTGATTAATGTTATGGTTTTTTATGATTTTAACTATTTTAATTCAAATGTCAGCTTTCTTATGCTGCAATTAGTTTAAGGTTGAAAAATGTAACGATTGACTATAAAAAAAATTCATCTTATAAAGATCAAAAGTACAGAATTATTTCTTGAGAAATCCAGGTTCATTACCATGACAAATTTTATTGGTTGTCTTTTCATTTTTATTCATTATAGAAACTTCAAAAAGGACATATTAAGCTTCATTCGAAATGCTGAGATTGCCGAAGAAAGGATTAACTAGATTTGATCAGGTTCAAGATGAAGAAACCTACCTGGAAAATTTAGCAGTACAAAGAAATGCTTCTGCTTTTTTTGAAAAATATGATCGGAGTGAAGTACAGGAGTTGCTTACTACTGCACTAGTTAGCTGGTTGTCTACCAAAGAGGATGTTCGCTCTCAAGTAGACATCCCATGTGGAATTATGAGTCAAATAAATAGTGTAGGCTTTTCTACTGCAATCCTACTGACTCCTGTGGATCCTACTGCCCTCTTAGACTACAGAGAAGTCCATCAGATCATAAGGGAGTTGTCTATTGGAATTTATTGCTTAAATCAAATTCCTTCAATCAGTTTAGAAGCTAATTATGATCAGAGTTCTTCTTGTCAATTACCTCCAGCTTATTTTGATACCAGAATTGGGCAAATTTTGATCAATATTGACTACATGCTAAAAGCACTATGGCATGGAATATACATGCCTAAAGAAAAACGAGCCAGATTCTCTGAATTGTGGCGTACTATCCTGGACATTGATCCAGATGGGAAGCCTCAAACAAATAAAGACATTTTTGCAGAATTTAGTTCAGCAGGTAAGATAATTTGACGGTTGTAAATTATTTTCATTAAAATCCATTTTGTTTATTTAAAAGTAATTTATCTGTGGCTCAGTTTTATGTATTTAGCCATCACTTCTTAATGGAAGTTTTTAAAACTCCAAAAGCTCTTTTTAAGAAAACTTGATAATTTTAAATGCCACCAAAATTATGTTTTAAATCAAACATCTTTCCTCTTCATCTTAATCTGCAATTTCTGCAGAATAGATCATGTTCCAGACTACATGATGGAGAGTTTTCTATGTATACATTTTGTCTTCCAGGGCCTAAGCAGGAAGATAGATAGAGTCAAGAAAAGAGTAGAATTGGAGTGCAATTAGAAAAATCTACAAAGTTGAAAACAAAATGATTTTGCCAGATTGGTTAGCCTTCTATATTGCCATTTTATAAACCTCAAAAAATGAATGATATAATAATAATTGAAGTTAAGAGTAAATGTGAATCAGCAGTCTAGGTTGTGGTATTTTAGTAGCATTAGGTTTCATGAATATTTATTCTTGATTCACCAAATTTTTAAATTCCTCTCTTGGAATTCTCTGTACTTCTCTAAGGCTTGTATATAAATAATGGATGCTGTTAAATCCTGACGCATCCCCTTTAGCGTATCTAAATTTTTATAGGAGCTTTAAAGAAAATTTCCATGGTTCCTTTGTAGCAGACCAGGTGGAATAGGAAATGTGTGGCCCAGACACTCCTGTCAGCGGCTTTCATTCTATAATACATCTAATCTCTTTTTGAATAGATTTCCAAAGTTTCTAGATACAGGCTTAAAAATAGCTCTCAATTTTGGTAAAATTGTACTTAGATTTCACTTGATTGGAGAAGCAAGCATAGCAATATTATTTTATGGATTTTATGGCATCTGAAACTAAAAAAGGAATGCCAGCCCATCCTCTAGGAATAAAATGTCACAAAGATGGCTTCTTCCTTGACTATCCTGTAAACATGTCTGTTGATTTGTGTATTGCATGTAAACTGACTGCACAGTAAGGGGTTTGTATTAAAAAATATAATATTTTCAGTTACTAGGTTTGTTTGTTTTTTTCTTTAGAGATGTCTCTCTAGACACCTTCATCCTCCTACTTCTGCCTGATTGCCCTCTAGGTCTGCTGCATGGTTATTTACTGCTCTCTGAAATACATTGTCCTTCTCTTCTGCTTATTCCAGACCCTGATTTTGATCAGGGAGGATTTCCTCACATATCTGATGATCCTTACTGTTTGTTCACACTTAGGAGTGAGGCAGGAACAAGGCTTGTTGACTGGTGGACCTCCATTTAGGATGATCAGGAGGATCCCTTGGCGCACTCTCCTCCAAATGTCATATCTGTAGGTGTTTTCTCTTTGGTTGGTCCATTGCCTCCAATCTTCTACCTGGAAGGATAGCAATGAGTCTGGGGCCAGAAGAGGAGAAGGGGCTGTGGATCTCTTTCTTTGTCACACAGACTCTCACTTAACCTCTGTTCCGAGCACAGCTGCTCTCCCTACCTTCAGCTGTGCTTCTTGTCTCCCAGTCTAGAGCCTTTTTGGACCAATCTCTGGAGAGTAAGCCTGTCTTTTGCCATGGTGGGGGAGAGGAATTTGCCTGGTTGTTCTGTTTGGAGAAGGGGTCTTGGGGTCTAACTGCACTTTACTCAGACTTTGAATCAGTCCTCCTTTTTATATTCTTACACCACGATCTGTCCTTCTTAAGTTAGCGACATGCTTCCAATTTCTAAGCCTTTCTGGGGTTCTGTGGTGAGAGTTGACTTCTTGCATGTTGACTCCTACCCATCCTAAAGCTACAACGTTTTATAGAGGTATAAACAATACCCTGGTTTATATGTAGATTTTTTTTTTTTTTAACAGAGACACTTTAATTTCTTTATAATCTCTTTATAATTTCTCTTACTAACCCTTGTGCAAAAAAAAGATGATGAATAATAGTGGCCATTTAAAAAACTCAAGAATATTCTAACTTTTTATACATTTAGTGAAGAACCAAAGGGTTGGGGGGAGACACACTGATGTACCATTTACACCTTAAGGCACATATGTTGAGAACTCCACATTTTCTACAAAGTCATATTTTATGACTCAAAGCAGTTTTCTCAAGGCTAGACTGAAGGTTACATAGTAGATGTTACATTCTTAAAAAGACAGTTTAACAAGAAAGTCCTTAATTTGATAATAAGTGGCAAGAAAATATAACAGAAAATTTATCATTTATAATAGAGTAAAATCAAGTTTCAATTCTTATTTGTTTCATCATGATTAGTTAGCAGGCAGGTTCTTTGTTTATTGTGTATGTTTAGCTCTCATCTACAAAAAGAAAAAATGTATAATATTGGGTCTGAACAAGCAAATTATACTTTTAGCCCAAGTGAGAAGCTGATTCCCTAGTTAAAGAGAGATCACATTTTGTTGTTGTTATCCTTTCATATTTTCCTTGCTTAAAGATGGGACTTATATTACTGTGTTTCCTTGGTATTGTGTTTCTTTCCTCCAAACAGAATGGGAATCTATTATTTTTAATCTCATAAACTCCAATCTTTCTTCACTCAGTTACCCACTCATCCACTGCTTTTCATCTTCCATAATTTTATTGGCAACTCATTATTCCTTTACTGTCTTGTTAGTAGCATTTCAAGATATAACTGTGTTTAATCTGCTGTTTATCCAGAAGCCAAATATGAAGTTTTCATTGTCTGAAATTTTTCTTTTTTACTGTGAAGGTTTGATTGATATTACAAAGGATCCAGACTTTGAAGGCATATATGATGAAGACATGAATGAAGACCCAACATATAATCCAAATAGCCCTGAAGAAATAGCTGTGTTTATGAAATATGCTGAAAATATTCTGCTAAAGTTGACATTTAGTACCACACAAGTTCAACAGTATGAAAATGTCTTTATATTTGAAACAGCCTATTGGCTTACTAATGCTATAAAATATAATCAGGATTATCTTGATATTTGTACCTACCAGAGACTACAGCAAAGATTGTATCTTCAAAAAAAGGTTATTCAAAAACACTTAGAGAAGAAACAGGATATTAGAAGAGGGTTGGGATACTTAAAGTTAATATGTTTTCTGACTCCATTTCTACTGAGTTTAAAAAAGAAGATGAAAGTTCCATATTTAAGTTCTCTGCTTCAACCTTTTTCAGGTAAGAGTATCATCAGAACACAAAAATATAGGTATATGTGGGCCTAGGCATGTAACCTAGTTGTAGCTTTGTTAACATAAAAACTGTTAGAAGGCAAGAAATAAGAGAAAACAGAATTTAATGTATCCAAAATAATTAAAAATACTTAGTATATGTACATAGTATTTGGGCTGTGTGCATATATTTACATCGATTATTATTATATTGATTATTTATTATTGATGTTAATATAATTGATATATATTACTCAGAAATGGTTAAAACTCTTGCATGTTTTTGCTTTACTCACTGCAGTATTGAGTTGCTTCTAAGTGATGAGGAAAATGTTAAGAGAACCTCAACTTCAGTAAAACCTGGGCAAAATTATTAATCTATGCTGTTAATTGGGCTTCTTTGACCTGTCCTTTCTTTCCAACAGAAAGATAAAAACCTGATATTGAAAAGTGGGAAAATAGTCTTCTGTAGCATTTTACGGTAGAAATGAGTCAGATCTTGAGCCTTCAGCCCTGTTTAAAGTCTGAGGTTAAAAATGGATGGAAATAGTAAAAAGAGAGAGATACAAATAGGAGGTGGAGAATAGATAGGGGCTGGGGGAGAGGGAAAGGGGAAATCAGCAGGGATGATTTGAAGAAGACTCCAAGACAATTTTTAGCCAGAAGTTGATAAAGGGAATAGCTTTCAGCCAAAAATAGAATCAAAAGAGAAATAAGGAAAACATGGCTCCACATTTTTAAATTAGTTTAATCGTGTCAAAGGGATTTGGCTTAAATTAATTTAGAATAAATGGATTGGAATCAAGCTTTAATGATCTTCCAAATAGAAAATACATTAGTCAACTGTCATGCTTTTCTATTGAAAACATAATATATGCCAAAGTTATAGCAGCGTAAGGGAAAAAGCCTTCTGTTTTGTTTTTACATTTTTAGTATACAGATCTTTTTTTTAATGACATACTTATTTGAAAAACACTCTGAACAATACAAAATAGTACAAAGGTAGTAAAATAAATATTCATCCGGTCATACCACTCAGAAATAATCATCATTTCTACCTAAACATGTACAAAATGAAGTGTATAAGGACAGCCATTGTATCATTTTTTGCTACAATTTATTGAGTACTTACGCTATGCCTGGAATGTTCTAGGTGTTCTCCAAGTTGTAATTTATTTATTCCTCACAACAATCCTCTATGAGATAGGTAATATTATCGCTATCTCATTTAAGAGGATGCTTAGGTAGAATGAGGCTAAATGAGGTCACAAAGGTTAATAAGTGGCAGAGCCAGGATTTGGATATAACTATCTGGCTTCATGCTGTTAAACACCGTTGTCTTAGTCTCTTAGTGCTGCTATAACAAAAATACCACAAGTGGATGAAGATAAATTTATTTTGTCTCAGTTTAGGAGGCCAGAAGTCTGAATTCAGGGCACCAACTCTAGGGGAAGGCTTTCTCTCTCTGTTGGCTCTGGGGGAAGGTCCTTGTTTCTTTTTAACTTCTGTTTCTTTCTTCCTTGGTGATCTTCATGTGGCATGGCATCGATCTTCCCCTATCTGTGTTTCCTTTCTTCTGTGCCTAATCTGCTCTTTTTATATCTCAAAAATAATTGACTTAAAACACAACTATACTGATATATGGTCTTATTAACATAACAAAGAAAATCCTATTTCCAAATGGGATTACATCCACAAATCTAGGGGTTAGGATTCACAACATATATTTTGGGGAGACACAATTCAATCCATAACAGTTGTGCTCTGCTGTTTCTCAATTAAGTGCTACCCCAAAATCAGAAACAACCTTAATGTCCATCAATAGAGAACTGGTTAAAGTATATTTGCACAATTAATACTATGCAATCATTAAAAAGAATGAGGTAGATTCATATGTGCTAAAATGAGATAATCTCTAAGATACGAGTGGAAACTGGAAGAAGAGAAACAGTGTGCTTCTCTTGTGTTTGAAAAGAAGGATGCAGACTGATAGTAGCAATTCCTCTGGAAAGAGGAATTGAATGCCCAGAAGACAGACGTAAGAAGGAGATTTAATTTTCACTGAGTAAGTTTTTGTATCTTTTGAATACTGATGATGTGTAATGTATTACCTTTCCACAAAATAAAAAAAAAAAAACAACTTTAAACAAAATTCAACTATTTAAAAAAGACATTTGGTAAACACCTTCCAACACTGTATAAATACTTTGGGGAAAGTTTCTTAAATGATGATGTTTTATTATCTCACATAACAAGGAGTTTGACACGGGTACTTCCAGACTTGCTTAATTCAGAAGCTCAGCAATACCAGGGCACTGAGTCCCCTTTGTGCTGTTTCCTTGGTTTGGTGGTTCAGTGGTTAACAGCTTGGCTACTAACCAAAAGGCTGGCAGTTTGAATCCGCCAGCCACTCCTTGGAAACCCTATGGCAACAGGTTTGGTTTAGTTTGGTTTTATCATTCCTTTTGCATTTTATTAGTTGGAACTGTCCCTCATCAACTCTTTGGTTGTCCTGAATGAGAATTCAAGATAGAAAAGGTAAATACTTAATTTTCATTCTCTCCCCCACCCCCTGCCAGTTTTTAAAATACTGAGTAGTTGTTCTAGCAATCCCCAGTCATTACCAATGATTTGATTTAAATTATCATTACGAACCCATGGGTTTTCATTAATTTATAATTCATCAGAGCCTTAACATTTTTTGTAAATTGATAGACTTTATCTTTTAGAGCAGCTTTAGGTTTATAGAAAAACAGCTGATTGTACAGAGAGTTCTCATATATCCTTCTTCCTAGTACATCATTTCCCCTATTATTAACATTTTGCATTAATGTGGAAATTTTGTTACAATTAATGAGCTAATATTGATACATTACTATTAACTGAAGTCCATAGTTTACATTAAGGTTCACTCTTTGTGTTGTACATTTTTAGTATAAAGATTTCATTGTTTTTCTAAAAATTACATATGCTTATTTGAAAAACACTCTTTTTTTCATATATCCACCATTATAGTATTATACAGAATGGTCTTACTCTAAAAATCCTTGGTGCTTCACCTATTCATCCTTCCCTCCTCCCCTTGAATCCCTAGCAATCACGGATCTTTTTACTGTCTCTATAGAGTTGCCTTTTCCAGAATGTCATATACTTGGAATTATACAATATGTAGCATTTTCAAACTGGCTCCTTTCACATAGCAATATGCATTTAAGATTCCTCTGTGTATTTTTGTGGCTTGATAGCTCAGTCCTTTTTTAACTGAATAATATTCCATTATATGGATGTAACACAATAAAAACTACTCCAGCTTTCTTTTAACTTGTGTTAGTATAATATATCTCTCTTCACCACTTTACTTTTAATCTGCATCTTTATATTTAAAGTGAGTTTTTTGTAGACAACATATAGTTGGGTCTTTCTTTATTTACACTGACTATCTCTGTCTTTCACTTGGTATATAAATATATTATTAAAACTAGAGAAGATGAAAAAGAAACAGAACAAGAACAATGAGTAGAAAACAGTTACAGACATGGTAGATATTGTTCCAACTATATCAATAATCCCTTTAACTATGAACGATTATTGATATAGTTGGAACAATATCTACCATATCTGTAACTGTTTTCTACTCATTGTACTTGTTCTGTTTTTTTTTTTTCTTTTTTTTATTGTACTTCGGGTGAAGGCTTACAGAACAAATAGTTTCTCATGAAACACTAGTACACATATTGTTTATGAAATTGGTTAACAACCCCACAACATGTCAACCGTCTAACTTCTCAACCTTTTTTTTT